GGCACTGTTTGTTTCCATATTAGTTCCGGTTCGTTGTCCTTTTTTCTGGAAATGAAAGGAAGTGACAAGTGAGAGAACTGGACTAAACATTGCTGGCGAGATGTTAACGAACATCTAGTCTTATTCTGTGCTTTGGTTTTTTCTCGTACCTATGGGAAATGGCAGCAGAGAGAAGTGAACCAACGTTTGCCAGCGAGATGTTATCGACAATTTGATCCTATCCTTGGTCGTGGTTGTGATTGTTTATGCTGTTGCTTCTGTTGTCATTGGCTGCTGTCGTTGGTCACAGTGCTTGTCAACATGCTGGGGGTTTGGAATTGATGTTAAAGTTAGAGGATTGGAAATCACACCAAAGGAACGACAAAGACCAGCACAAAGCATCCAAGTGCACCATGTATGGCCATCTTGATCCTTATCCATCTGATAGATGCTTGTTGTTGCTTTTAACAATCCGTTTCCGGTTACATGATGGCAACAAACGGATTGTCACATACGATATTTGATACCTCCAGTCAGTATGGATGCCGTTCGCCAGGCCAAGCTTCTGAAAGATATGGAAATTCGAGGTTAAACCCTGTATCACAGTCTGTCCAAGTCTTTTTGGATGTCGCTTTATGCAATAAATAACTTGTCCATATAATATTTAGCTAGGAATTTTATATTGTATCTCAAAAGCTGGCTAAATAGACCCTAAAGGTATCGGGCGCATATATATATATATATAGGTATATATATATATATGTATATGGGATTTCGGAAGTCCTCGAGAGGCCATCTCCTTGGCGCTGTACGACAACCCAAAGATGAACTCCAAGTTCGGGCAGGGAGCCAAAAAAAAGAAGAAGGCAAAAGAAAAGAGCGGTCAGGGGTGGCCCTGTTCACCAGGCCCTCGGAGGCGAATCCTCCCAGCTACACCGTCTACGGATCTCACAACATCTCGGCCCCGAGCTCGAAACCGCAGACCGGAACCGCCGAGTCCTCTTTCCGCGTGCTGTCCAGGTTGCGGTGGACACGCCTCACGGACTCATGGTCCCCAACATCAAGGCAGAGCTCTCCGCAGCGCGCGGAGCGCCGCGCCGAGCGCCGCGCCGCGGGCCGCGCGCAGGATGTGGGCGGCAAGAACGTGATCGAGATCCAGCAGGACGGCGTGCCCACGGGCCCGGGCGGAGAATCAGAGTGACCGACGGGCGCAGTCGGCAGGAGCTGATGCGCCTGGCTGCAGCGGCGCAGGCAGGTAAGCTGGCTCTCAACGACATCCAGGCCCTTCTTCTTTGGACACGGGTGAACTTTAGGATTGCAGCAGTCCTGTTTTGAACCGAAGGGTGGCACCATTACGCTTTCCAACATCGGCGTCATCGGAACCAAGGAGCCAGAAAAAAAGAGACAGAGACGGGACATGACTTAGAGAGGCCTCCGAGAAAAAGCGCGCCAGGACCCGAGGCCGATCCTCTTCGACGGCCAGGCCGTGATCGGCGCCACGGGTCGCACCATGGCGCTGCCCCGCTACAACGCCAAGATGGAGGCCAAATCTTCGCAGAATCTTCGCGCAGAGAATGCATGTACATGCGCTCCGACACAGTTGGTGCCCCGACAAGTCATGAACATCCGCTGGGCTCGGGCCTCGGAGACTCGGAGAGCCGGGGTTTTTTCGGGCCCGGCCTCGCCCCTCGCCCGGATCCGAGGTCGGAGACCATCGTCACTTGGACGGCGCCGCACTTGCGCGATTCTCCAACTCCTTCAAGCAGTACATGGAGGACGGGTGCATGCAGCTTCCCAGACACGAGTCAGACTCGAGTCTGCCAGAATCCTGGGGAATGGTGCCTCACGATGAGATGAAAGCGCTGAGACTTGCCCGCTGTTCTGTGTTAAGGGGCGCACCGGTCGGGCGGTTTTGAGAGACCCTCTCTCCGGTTCTGCCCAAGCGCCTCCTCCCGTAAGGGCGGAAAGGCGGCGATCGATTGCTGAGGCCAGAAAGGCCACGCAGGGCACGCGGAAAAGGCGGCAGGAACGTGCAGAGCGGCGCTAGTTGACGCCTGTCGTGCTCCTCTCTTGCACACACATGTCAAGGGTCAAGGCCTTAATACTGGCTCAAAAGGGATGCAAGACGTGCAGCGCAGATGAAATAGTTGAAATGGTCGAAGAGGGTTTGTTGAGCTCCAGCAATTGGTATGTTCGGGGAGCCTGATGAACTTCAAGCAGCCGATCTATATCGGAGGTCCTCTGAAATTCCGCCCTAATTAGTGCCTTAGTGCCTCGGCTCGGCGCGAAAGCTCAAGGTTGGCGGCCATGGCGCGAAAGGAGCCAAAGCCTTCGGCAGTTGAGACGTCTCCGCCTTTCTCCGCTCCGCCTTCGCGAGGATTTCAGCTTGCCGAAAGACACCAATCAGATCGAGGAGGCCACCGACCGTGCACTGCCCCACCCATTGCCCTCCTCCATCTCCCTTAAGCGGCCTTCTGCAGGCGATTCTCGCGAAGATCCAACAGCGAGTGCACAGTCGAACGACTGAGGAGCTGGCCCGGCTGGCCCCCGCCCTCACGGCAGCATCGCATTCATGAGAAGAAGAAAACACTCGACCACTCCTCTGTCAGGAGAACTTCCTGGCAAGGGATCTTCGGCATCACGATCTCTCTGGCACTGGATGGCTCGAACCGGCCACCTTCCTGCGCGCATTCTTGCCCTACAGCGCCGGCGTCAGCGAGAAGGACGCGCCAAGCGCTGAAGCACCTTTGGCCTTCTCCCCTTCCCCGGCTTCCCTGCCTTCCTGCCTTCCCCCTGCGGCAGAGGACCTGCGTGCCATCTTCGACCGCTACGCCGAGGAGGCCACGAAGGAGGATCTCCGTCGCGAGCTGCGGGGCCGGGTTGGGGAGTTGGGGCCAGGGGCTTCTGCCGATCCGGCCCTTTGCGGCCGAGTTCACCAGCGGCGTGCGCCGCGAGGCGCGTCTCAGGGGATCTCCGTGATGAAGCTGCCAGCGTCTGCAAGCCGCTAAAAAGCCGCTCTTTGCCGCAGGCTGAAGGCGGAAACGGCCTGGGCAAGGAACTCGAGGAGGAGGCCAAATTCTTTGTCTCTTGTCTCTTGTCAGAGGGCCGGTCCTTGCTTTGTGCAGGGACCGGAGGCCTCGGAAGCACCGGAGGCGCACGCGCCAAGCCTTGAAAGACCCTGACAGAAACTGTCAGCGTCAGCGGATCAAGGAGATCCTGGAGAAGATGAAGGACTCCCTCTATGAGAGTCCCCGCGGCATGACCTCCCTGGCTGCAGCGCCTCGGAAAACCCAGTTGCCTAGTATGTAGCCCTGTATCTAAAACAGTGATGATGAGACGCCACTTCGCTTCTCAGGCCATCCGAGATGCAGATCCGCAAAATGCCCGAGTCATCAGCTTCGAGGTCTTTCAGAAGGCCCCCGCCAGCAGCCACTATCCGCCACTATCCGGCGCCGCACGAACTCGTGATTTCAGGTCCTTGGCGACTTCTTCCAGGACTTGCAGGCACAATCAAAAGGAGAGCAAGGTTGCCGCGGGGGGCGTTGCCTCCTGTCCTTCAATTGGGGTTTTTGATCAGGTGAGTGTTGGGGACCTCCGCGCCATCTTTGACCTCTTTCGTCAGCCACACGTGAACCAGCTCCCCTACGATGAGCTCCTGGCCCACCGAACAGCCTGACAGCACTGACAGAGCGGCCTGTGCTGGCTGAGGTTCTTTCTGGCTTTGAAGGAGGAGATCAGCCAAGAAAGGAGGGTCCCGGCCCCGACATGCATATAACTCTAAGACTTCCTCTTCTTTTGAGCGGCGGAAATAAGGGGGCCCAGCCGAGGCTGCCATTCGCCAGGCCTTCCGGCGCCTGGATGTGGCCTCGGAGGCCGCTCAGCGGCCGCTCCCGCCAACTTGCGAGGTTTAGAACTCTGAGCGAGTCGGCGAGTTGTCTCTGCCGGAAGGGGCTGGTGGATCTGGGGGTCCTGCTGCGCTCCTTCAACGCGAACCGCCACCCTCAGGCCATGGCCATGGCGGGCCATGGGCTAATTAAGCATCTCAGAACATCTTCTCAGATGGCTTACGTGCGGTCTTATACAGGTGACCAAACTTGCTGCCCCGAAAGTCTGGCCTCAACGTCCGGCGGACGCAACGCGTCCGAAGTTAGGCCGATGTCGCAGGCCGACGCGCAGCATAAACAGCGGCCTGGTGCTGTCCGCTGCGCTGCCCGGAGACGCGTTCACCCAGATTCTCAATTCGAGATCCCTGCGTTGCAGCGGTGCGGCGCAAAGAACGCCAGCAGAAACTTGCCCATGCTTGAAAGTTCACAGGATCGTCCTGAGCGGAGGGAGCGGACATGCGTGCAGCGGTGAGAGTTTGCGGAACGATCTTCCAGTGTATATCACACTATAGACCAAGGTTAGTGGGCAAAATACTTATAGCTAAACAAGCACACAAACAATCGAAGCAAATCGAGGATGGTCTTTGCGCTCTGTTGGTGGAGAGGTTGCAAGAGCGGGGGGCGTACAGTGGATCGCGCTGATTGCACGCAACATCGCGGGGGTTGTCAGTTTCGTCCCCGTCTGTTGGAATTTACAACGGATCGCACCGGACTGATCCTAGGCTCAGACCGACCTCGCAACAATCCAATAGACCACTTGACATCTACATACAGTAGATCTGTATCAGCATTCGGTGAGTATCATACCAACATTCCGTCCCAAACACCTCCACGGAAAATCCCGTCACAACGCTTTCGGAATATAATAATCATATAGGTGGTATAAGCAACAAGCCGCTTGTAACAAGCCCTTTAATTGCTCTTGAGAGCAAACGAAGAGCAGAGAACATGGGAAGGAAGCAGAAGACAGAGAGCTTGAAAGCCAAGCTGGGAGCAATGATTGAAGGTCTGTGACGGGCCCGTTTCGTGCTTGCATGTGCTTGCCGTTTGCTGTGCATACGCCACAAGTGAACTTTGGGCAGGTGTCTGCTGGCACTCGCACAGCAGAGGAGGCTCGGTGGAGCGTTGCCTCTTGCGTACACCGAGACTCAGACAGCTGAGGTTCTTGAAGAGTTCGCAGACACCTTGAAGGACAGCGCGGGCTGACTGGCGACGGGCGACGAGAGTTGAGCTTTTCTTGGCAGTCCTCGAATCGAGGATCATATCAGCTTCCGGCGCGGCCAGCGTGGCCGCCCCAATGCAAGGGCCGAGCGTTAGGCAGCCAGCTGTCACAGCAGAGAGCTGAGGCTCCTACCCAACGAACTTAGTCGCCTGGGAGGAGTTCGAGGCACCGAGGCGCCTTTTTTCCTTTCTGAGTGGACGGTTTCAGTTCTGAGGACTACTACAAGCCGCGGTCCTATAGAGAATCGGAATGGTGCAGGGCCGCCGGGCCGCGCTGCAGCCTGCTGCAGCCTGATGCTGCTGAGGTCAATTAGTGGCTGCTTCGCCTCGGACGAGGACTTCACTTCGGTTCTGGCAAAGGCGATGACATGACGTAGTGCTTGGGTGGCGCTTCTGCCTCTGCCTTAAGATCGGAGGTCTGGGACCTGGACAAGGCCTTCGACGCCGCGGTGGAGACGCGCGCAGCGTTGGCTCGGCCCGCTGCGGGGGCTCCGCAAAAAGTCCGAACAGGCCTCCACCACTGGCAGGCGGGGGCTGGGGCACCGCACGAAAAGAGACTGAGACTCCCATTTCCCATTTCCTGCACACAGACCAACACGCTGCCAATGACTGTCACGCACCACAAAGTGGACATGGTGACAAAGATCGAGGATGCCTGGACGCCCAGAGCCCGAAGACGGGTGAATCACCGCACGGGACTTTGCAACTCTGCCTCCTGACAGGTGATGCAGCGCACGCGGGCTCAAATTACAAGGACGGCTTTTTTGTTTTAGGCGTGCAGCGTGCAGCGTGCACTTGTGGGGGAAGAAGCGGGCCCGCAGGCGTGGCCTTCGGGCCGCTGTCGACGTGGTCCAGCACGGGGCCCCGGGCGGAAGCGGCCTCGCTTGCCTCAGAGGAGCCGAGGCGCGCCGCGCCCGCCGCGCCCGCTGCCGCTTTTCGCTCCGAGGCACTTCTATGCAGCGGACGACGACGTGGACGACCAGTTGGACACGTGCTCGCACGGACCACTGCCACGCCCACCCCTGACTGATGGATTTTGACGTCCAATCCAAAGTCCAAAGTCCTGTCCTTTCAATTTCGCTCTTCGGCATGCTACCAAGTTAGAATGTAGCACTTCGCACTGCGATCGTCAATATCCCGAGTCACATCCCGCTTTGCACCGCACGCCATTCTGCCATGAAGCCTTCACAGCACCTTGCCCACGTCCTGTCGGTTAGTTGGTCCATCCTTCAAGCTCCTTTTAGCTTCTGGTCTGATGGTAGACGGCGGGGGCTTTGGCGAGGTACGAGTTCCGACAAGCCTGCCGGAAGGCTGGGCTCAGCTTCCGCGAAGCCGAAGAGGCCTCTGCGCGTCTCTGCGCACGTGCCAGCAGCAGAGCCGGAAGTGGAGTGCCTTCTGCTCTTCTGCTCTGCAGTGCTCTGCAGGCCTCCATCTTCGAGGCATGTGCCGAGACCAAGGGCAAGCTCCAGCTGCCCGTCTTCCTGAAGCTCCTCCATGGGGACACGACGCGTCTTTTTGTGCGACGCGTCGTGGTCCCGCAACCGCGTTGCTGTCTCGCGCTGTCTCGCGTCTGCGCTGCAGGAGCTGTCAAAGGGTCGCCGAGGTCTCGTGGAGCGAGCCTTCGCTGTCCTCGGAGGTGAGGATGCGATTGAGATGCGATTGCGGCTGCGGCTGCGGCCGGGAGCCGTTCTGTTTGCTTGCCAGGCGATCCGGGAGATCCTCGCTCCGTGGCCGGGAAGTGTGAGAGCTTGAACTTGAAGTTTCGCGGAGACAGAGACGCTCCTGCAATGTGCAGGTGAGCCCCGCGACGCTGAAGGAGCGCTTCGTGGCGCAGGCCAGGCGAGATGTCATGCATGCGTCATGCCACACTCTGTTTTACAGCTTCGCCGCTCGGCTTTCGCCGCTCTTCGCCGAGGCGCACCCCTTGGTGGTCCGCGGCCAGCTGGAGCCTGGATACGTCCTGGCGGAGTTTCTCGGCCCTCCTTAAGAGCGCCTAACCGGCGCCAGCGCCCGGCGCCCCTGCTAGCCAACGCAACAGGTTCCTGGACACCTTCAGCCAGCTGGCTCACGTACTCGGGGGCTGTGAGAACGGCATGGTCTCCTTTGCGGACTTCCTCGCCTACTACGAGGTGGTTTCCTCCACCGCCGCTTGACCGAGATTTTTCGGAAAGTCTCCCTCTTGTCCTACTCGTCCTTCGAGCTCCGTGAGATGTCTCCTCTCAGCGGTTCCGGTTCCCCAGGTTGAGAACGACTCGCTCTTCGACCTCGTCGTGCCAGCTCGCCAAAAACTTGAAGGCTTTGCATAGGAGTGTTTCAGTCTCAAGCCGAGGCAGCGCATCTGGGACCTGCCTAAGGCAGGGCCCGGGCATCTGCGCGCATAGTGTTTGCAAACCGCGGGGTGCCGCTGGAGCCGCTGGAGTCATAACAGGTCGATGCGGCCGCTCAGGGCTACGCGGCAGGCGGGGAATCGCCGAGGCCCCCGAGCCGGAGCCGCCTTAAGTTAAAGCCGCCCCCAAAACGCGGGGAACTGTGGGCTCCGCAGCCGCAGTGCCTGCCGCGGCAGGCGCTCCCGCGTGAGCTTGGAGCAACCGGTTTCGCCCATGGCGGAGCGGAGGTGCCTCGGCTCGGCCGCTGCGAAAAATCCCCCGAATCTCTTTTTGAGCATGCGGCCGTGCTGTGCTGTGCTGTGTGATGTGTGCTGTGCTGTGTCTCCCCCCCAAGTCCCACAGACGTCTGAGCCGGAGGCCTCCAGCACATGCAGGGCCTTCGGCTTATGCAGTGGAAAGCCCACGGGGTCCCAAGCAGGAGAGAGCCATCGCGTCTCGCCTCTCCTCGCATCTTGCACGCGTCACGACGCGCGAGGACCACAAGCGCTTCAGCCGCGGCCCACAGCCACGGGCCAAGAGAGCTCTCATGGGAGAGACAGCCGCAGCAGCCGCAGCCCCGCAGCCCAGCCTTCCGAGGGCCTCGGCCATCACCAAGTCCTCCATCGTCCGGAACCCAAAAGAGAGAAGGAAACCGAGCGCTTCTGCTGGCTTTGGCTTGGGGCTTTGGGGCTTGGGCCCACGCTTTGCGCGCTTCTCAGCGCGAGGAGCGGAGAGACTTCACTATAGCATACAGGACCACGAATAGCTACGGAGTCTTAGTGGTCGACTCCGACTCATGGCGAGATATGCCATGCCGGGCCGACACCACGTCATGACGTCCCCGCTCGGCGATTCGGAGGCCTTGAGTCGCGGCGCCATGCACCGGCATGCACTCCACGGAAGCTCGCGTGCAAGGCAACTGTGAATCGTGGAAGACATCGGCCTTGGTGTTTGGCGTCGAAAGGCTAGCTAACGAAGCGGTTGCGGATTGGAAGCACGGGGGGATGAGATTGTCGAGCACAGACTGGTTCGGTTTGTATCACGACTCTTGCGAAAAGACTGTGGCAAGGCTGTGTAGGGCGTTGCTTTGCGGGAGTTTGGCATGGCAAAGATTTACACCGCGGAAGCTTGGGATGCTCTCCGAACGTAGAAAGAAATTTAAAAAAATATGCCACAACTATGCCTGTCACCTCCATGAAGGGGCATAGGAAGGCCGCCGCTGGAAGCATTAGGGAAGCGTGGCATATCTCGAAGCCGCGCAGTGATGGCCAGCGATTCCAGGAGAGCAGGACAAGCGAGGGCCAAGAGTTTCATTGTTCCTAGATAAGGCGGGTTGGAACCCGTGGGCTATGTGTGCTGAGTAGAGAAGCTTCGTGGTCGGGCCCGGATGACGAAAGAACGCATCGGATGCCGACGATGCTTCGCCGCTGCCTCGCCTTGCTTCGAGCGCGCGACTCGAAGACTCGAGACTTCAGCTCGGCTGACTCAGCTTCAGCATGTGAAGACATGAGGTCAGACTTCATTGAACTCGTCTGAGGCCCGAATACACTTCTAAATGGATTGGCCAATGCCAGACCTCGAGCCGCTTCTGAGCTTAAACGGCCACGACAGCCGAGCTTTGCAGATTGTCCGAGGCATTTCGCATGCGTATAGCTGGAAATAAGAACACGACAGGGGTAGGTTGCCGTCCCGTATGTGGGAGTTTGCTCGAAGTGAGAAACCGCTACACAGAAAGTTGTCAACTACAATGCCCACGCCAAGGGTCGCTCCTCGATCTAGGGAGGCTGACGGACTTGGGCCACTAGCAGTGCGCGATTGCAGCCGGTGTCGAGTTGTTTCCGGAGATGATGTTCGGAGGTGTGGGCAGGCTTTGTCGATTTCAGGAGCCTCCGTAGCGTAGCAGGATGAGAGGAGCTCTCACAGCTGAAATATGTCAAGGAGAGCTCGACATGAAAGTTGTCACAATGAGGTTTGCAAGCTTTGAAGCACAGTTGGGAAAGCAGACGTAAACAGCGACCGGCTTAAGCCTGGCACGGGACAGCGGCTCCAAAAAGTCGAGGAGACGGGGTCAAAGCGACTTTCCGCTCCTTTCGCCCGTGCTTGCGTCGCGAGGTCTTCAACGAGCGGGGGAGCTCCCTCACCGAGGTGCTCGAAAGGCGCGGGGTGCGATCCGAGGGCTTGGCCGAGAGAGGGTAGGCTGCTGCTGCTCCTTTCTGGGGCGCCTTTGTCTCTGCGCGCACGCGCTGTGCTCTCTCTTCGGAGGCTGCGGCGCAGCATCGCCCTGCGAGGCCTCCGAGGCCTTCGTTTTCTCTCCGAGCCTCCGGAGTGTCTCGGAGTGTCTCCGTTTCGTGTGTCTTGCTGAGGCTGGCTTGCTGTGGTTCAGCGGTTCCAGAACTTCGACTATCGGAGGCGCTGTGGAGAGCGGCGCTGGCGAGAGATGCGGCCGTAAAAAGCAGAGAGAGACGCTCGCCGCTCGCGTTTCTCAACGGGCTCCGCAGGAATGGGACCATCATGCGCCTGGACTGGCAGCGAGCGGATGCCCAGAGAGACACGGCGGCGGCATGTAGCGCGGCGCGCAGCACGTAGCACGCTGCGAGCTCCGGTGGTGTCTTCTAAGGCTTGAACCGCGTGCTGGGCCTGGGCCTCTCGCCGGAGGATCAGGAGCTCCTCTTCAAGGCGAGCCGAGCCGCAGAGCAGAGCGGAGCAGAGCTAGACGAACGAGAGCTGAACTACGCAGAGAAGCGCGGAGAGAAGCGCGGAGAGAAGCGCAGAGAGCTTCGCGTCTCGCGACAAAGTAAAAGCGGCTTTAACTGGACTATCGAGGAGCTCTCGCAGAAGAAGAAAGGTGCAGCCATGGCGTGGGACTTGGGCGGGGTGTCACGGTGTCATCGGGCAAGTGCAGATGACGGCGACGCCGCGACGCGTCTCAGGATTACCTCCAGCGCTCGCCTCAGCACTCTTCCGAGGGCGCAGCTGCAGCTGCGATGTCTGCATAAAGGTATAACCTTGCGATGAGGAAAGACAGAAAATAAGAGACAAAAGCCCAACCTGCAGCTCAGCTGCAGGTGTCTGCACTTGCTACGAGGGGACAGCCTCGAAAAGGAGACGGAAAAAGAGTCTACTACCAGTAGAAAACGAGAGGGCGAGAGGGAGGAAAGCGAGGGAGGCGCAGAGGCGCGCGCGCGCGCCTTTTCGCCTTGCTCGCGAGGACCGCGAGCAGGCCGTGGAGCAGCTCTACGAGGCACGCCCCTCGATGGCGCACGCCGCCAGGGCCGCACGCGCAGGGAATTCTAGCAGAGTTTGCTTCTTGATGGGCTCTTCAGGAGGGTGTGCGGCAGAAGTGGGCTCAGCAGTAGAGAGCGGAGCTGTAGCGCCATGTCCACTTACACGGGCACCGTGCGCTCCTTCAACCCCCACAAGGCGGGGGGGCGCAGCCCTTAAGGCTGAGAAGGCCGTTTGCAATCTTTTTGAGATCCTGCGAGCAGGGCTGGGGCTTCATCGAGTGCGCGGAGACAGAGAAGCACTTCGGCGGCGACGTCTTCTTGCTGAAGAACGACCTGAATGGCTTTGGCGTCTGCAAGGGCGATGAGGTGACCTTCAGCGTGACGCAGAGTGAAAAGGGCGCCAGGGCCACCGACGTCAAGGTGAAGACGACCGCCTCAAAGGAGGGAGGAGAGGGCCCAGGAGCAGGCCCGCTCTTCTTCGGCGAAGTCCGGAGCTTCAATCAGGTCAAGGGCCGCTTGCCAGACTCAGAACAGAAAGAGAGAGAGAGAGAGACTCAGAAGAGAGCGCGCGCGAACGCGCGCGCGCGGAGAGAGAGCACTCGCTGAGAGCTGAGGCTTTGGCTTCCTCTCGAGTCCAGCGACAGAGAGCCTGTTTGGAAAGGATTGCTTCTTCATCAGGACCGCCTCTTCCGAGCAGTCTGCGCAGTCCATGAGAGAAAACTCGCGACCTCTCTGTCCTCTCTTTTTAAGTCCCCTCTGTCTGACTCTGTCCTCTATCTCCGACAGCATGTCGGACCGATACTGGCGCCGCTGGGCGGCGCCGCCAGGAGCGAGTTCGGGGACGCCTGGCCGGAGCAGGGCCTCCACGTGCAGTTCCGGGCAAAGGCGGGGGGGGGGGCGTAGAGGTTGGAGAGTCTGAGAGCCAGTCGCGTGCGTCGGCGTGTGCGTGCTGCGCAGGCAGGAGAGCGAGGTCCGATCGCTTCGGATGTTCGCGTGCTGGACTGCAGAGATCAGCCTCCTGCCCTGCCCTGGGGTCCTGCCCTCCCCTCCCCTCACTTGCCTTCCGTCGAAGGACCCTCCGGGAGGAAGATGGGGTGCCAAAGGCTTTGGAAAGGGCTTTCCAATGGGCTTCGTTCCGCCGATGCTCTTCGGCTACGGAGGCACGGCCGACACCCCCTCCTCTCTCTCTCTCTCTCTGTCTATCTCCCTCGCACTCTCCACTCTCCTCTTGCAAATGTGCTTGGAGGCTTTGGGAAGGGCTACGGGAGGGGCTTCTCCGACCCGAAAGAGACTGATGTCTTCTTCGGCACAGTGAAAGCCATCAACGAGAAAGGCTTCGGGCACATTGCGAGCGAGGCAATGACCCGAATTTATGGCAAGGACATCTTCGCACACAGGACCCCTCGGACCCCTCGCCGAGCGCGAGCGGAGCGAGCGGAGCGAGCAGTGAGAGCAGAGAGAGGAGAGAGAGGAGAGAGAGGAGATGGTGTTCTAGCTGCAGATTCTTCCGAGGACGAGCATCGAGGAGGCGAAGGTTACTGCCGGCCAGGCCGTGTCCTTTAGCGTGTCGCCTGGGCCGAAAGGCGCCCATGCCATCAACATCCAGGCCCAATTTGAGGGGCGGCCCCCAGAAGCCAGAAGCCCTTGCTCCACATCTCCGTCTGCCTTTCTGGAACTAGATTCCTTCGTTCGGGCTGCAATCCAGCACCCTCACACTGCAAGCACAGCCGGAAGGAACGCACGCCCCGGCCCCTTCAGCGCGGATGATTTGCACAAGAGTGTTCTTATAATGCTCTTATGTAAAGTGGAAGCCTTCATGTTCTCTGGCTACCTGAGCTCTGAGAAGGCTTTGCTTGCAATTCGAAGAGTGAAGAAAGCGGACTGAAGCTCGCTTCCTTGGAAGACTAGGTCGCTAGGCCACTGAGAACTCAACAGAGAGTCGGGTTGGTCTCTCGGTCATCCACCGAAGTTACTCCGAAGTTTTCCTGAGAGAAAGAGAGGGTTCCTTACATGCCCATGCGGCTGTTGCTTCATGAGCAGGTCCTGCACGGCACAAACAAAAAAAAACAAAGCATCGTCGGTGACCGGTCAGTTCTCTGAGTTTGTGCAAATCCAAATGCACATAATTACCGCACAACAGCACAACACAGACGCAACAGATGGAAAGGGGGTTATTTGTGTCTCTTTTTATTGCGTTATCTGTGTCTTTTTTTTGGGGGGTTATCTGTGTCTTTTTTGTTCTGTTTTTTGTCACAAGTCCCAAGGAACGGCTGCCCGTACCCAAATTGGTGGGTAATCTGTGTCTTTTTTTTGCGTCATCTGTGTCTTTTTTTTGCGTTATCTGTGTCTTTTTTGGGGGTTTCGCTTTCAATCTGATTAACTGATCCATGTCTGTCAAGTACCACGCTCTTCCTTGTGGCCGGGCATTCGAAATGCTCTTTTGGCGTACAAACGCAGTATGCGGAACGCTCTTCGTGTGGCCGGGCCTTGAAAATGCTTTTTTGGAGTGCCAACTCAGTACGCGGAATGCTCTTCCGGTGGCCGGGCCTTGAAAGTACGTTTTTGCTTTTGGGAGTACAGACTCAGTATGCGGAATGCTCTTCGTAGTGGCCGGGCCCGAAATGCTCTTTTGGACTACACACTCAGTACGCGGAACGCTCTTCCAGTGGCCGGGACTTGTGAAACTGCTCTTTAAGTGCAAGGTCAGTACGCGGAACGCCCTTCATGTGGCCGGGCCTTGAAAGTGCTTTTTTGGAGTACAAACTCAGTGCGCGAACGCTCTTCCAGTGGCCGGGAAGTCAAAACGCTCTCAGTACGCGGGGAACGCTCTTCCAGTGGCTGGGCCTTGAAAGCTACTTTTGGAGTACAAACTCTCTACGCGGAACGCTCTTCCGGTGGCCACTTTCCTCTAAGACCCGGTTAGGTTGTTTTCTGACAATTATCCATATCCCAAAAAAGAGCCCAATAGTCAGAATAGAATACCCTAACTTTTAGGATATAGGTGATTTAAATAACCTAGGATAAAAGGTTATTCTATCGAATAACCTGTAAATTGTGGCAGGAGCAGGCATCCTAAGTAACGTGTTTCGTATGCGATTTTTTGAAAAAGCTAGGTAACATATAGGAAATCTAAGTAGCATTTCTCCGATCTAAGTAACAGTAACAACATTTGCGAAGGCTGTGCTCTTTCGTTGGTGCTGTATGGCGGAAGGTTCGGGTCAATGGTTTCGGGCTTTGCCACAACAGGTCTGCCCGCGGAGGATAAAGGATCCATGCAGCCAGTTCGTTTCAGCCTGTGAGCCCATCGGAAACTGTAAGGTCTATGAAATCCGGAATTGCCAAATGAGGGGTGTGTTTAAAAATATATGATGAACCGGCATCGCCCAATCGGGGGGCGTGTTTAAGGTCTATGATAGCCGGGGTCGCCAAATGAGGGGCGTGTTTAAATATGTTTGATAAGCCGGAATCACCCAATGGCGTGATGTGTTTAGGATATATGATGAACCCCACTAGTTTGGCGTGTTGAAGGTCTATGATAGCCGGAATCGCCGAATGAGGGGCGTGTTTAAATATAAATCATTTGGCATGTTTAAGTTTAAATATAAATATGCATGAAGATACATGAAGAACCGCAATCGCCCAATTGGGCGACGTGTTTAAGGTATATGATCGGAAACGCCAAATGAGGGGACTGTTTAAGATATATCAATCGGGGGGGCGTGTTTAGGATATATGACGAACCCCACTGGTCTGACGTGTTTAAGGTTTATGATAGCCGGAATCACCCAATGAGGGGCGTGTTTAAATATATATGATAAACCGAAATCGTCCAATGGAGGGGTGTTTAATATATATGATGAGCCCCACTGGTCTGGCGTGTTTAAGGTCTATGATAGCCGGAATCGCCAAATGAGGGGCGTGTTTAAATATATATGATGACCCGGAATCGTCCAATGGGGGGGTGTTTAAGATATACGATGAGCCCCACTGGTCTGGCGTGTTTAAGGTCTATTATAGCCGGAATCGCCACATGAGGGGCGTGTTTCAATGTATATCTATATATGATAAACCGGAATCGCCCAATCGTGGGGCGGAATCGCCAAATGAGGGGCGTGTTTAAATATATATGATGACCTGGAATCGTCCAATGGAGGGGTGTTTAAGATATATGATGAACCCCACTGGTCTGGCGTGTTTAAGGTCTATGATAGCAGGAATCGCCAAATCAGGGGCGTGTTTAAAAATATATGTTGAACCGACATCGCCCAAGCGTGGGGCGGAATCGCCAAATGAGGGGCGTGTTTAAAAATATATGATGAACCGGCATCGCCCAATCGTGGGGCGGAATCGCCAAATGAGGGGCGTGTTTAAATATATATGATAAACCGGAATCGTCCAATGGGGGGGTGTTCAAGATACATGATGAACCCCACTGGTCTGGCGTGTTTAAGGTCTATGATAGCCGGAATCGCCGAAGGAGGGGCGTGTTTAAATATATATGTTGAACCGGCATCGCCCAATGGGGTGATGTGTTTACGATATATGACGAACCCCACTGGTCTGCCGTGTTTAAGGCCTATGATAGCCGGAATCGCCAAATGAGGGGCGTGTTTAAATATATATGATAACCCCGAATCGTCCAATGGGGGTGTTTAAGATATATGATGAACCCCACCGGTTTGGCGTGTTTAAGGTCTATGGCCAAATGAGGGGCGTGTTTAAATATATACGATGAACCGGCATCGCCCAATCTTGGGGTGGAATCGCCAAATGAGGGGCGTGTTTAAATCTTATGAGAACCCGGAATCGTCCAATGGGGGGTGTTTAAGATACATGATGAACCCCACTGGTCTGGCGTGTTTAAGGTCTATGATAGCCGGAAGGCGTGTTTAAAAATATATGATGAACCGGTGTCGAGGGGCGTGTTTAAATATATATGATAACCCGGAATCGTCCAATGGGGGCGGGTGTTTAAGATATATGATGAATCCTACTGGTCTGGCGTGTTTAAGGTCTATGATAGCCGGAATCGCCAAATGAGGGGCGTGTTTAAAAATTATATGATGAACCGGCATCGCCCAATCGGGGGGCGTGTTTAAGGTATATGACAGCCGGAATCGCCAAATGAGGGGCGTGTTAAAAAAATATATGATGAACGGGAATCGCCCAATTGGGGAGGGGGGGGTGTGTAAGGCCTGTGATAGCCGGAATCGCCAAATGAGGGGCGTGTTTGAATATATATGATAACCCGGAATCGTCCAATGGGGGGGGTGTTTAAGATATATGATGAGCCCTACTGGTCTGGCGTGTTTAAGGTCTATGATAGCCGGAATCGCCAAATGAGGGGCGTGTTTAAAATATATATGTTGAACCGACATCGCCCAAGCGTGGGGCGGAATCGCCAAATGAGGGGCGTGTTTAAAAATATATGATGAACCGGCATCGCCCAATCGTGGGGCGGAATCGCCAAATGAGGGGCATGTTTAAATATCGCTATAGTTTCGTGCATGTCCCCCACAGTTGGTCTGCACTTGTTCACCCCAGCAACACTGGCGACAACTTCTGAGATTTGCTGTGCAAGCGAATCGCTTCCAGCATAATGGACACGGGTAACTTCATGTCACAACCACTGTTGGTCTGAACAACGTACTCCGCAACTTTGGTTTCAAGCTTGGCCTGTTT